GCAACACAGTGAGCTTGGTTCTGCTCAGGGCAGTCTTAAGTATATCCGGCGCCATGGTGCAAAGATCCCTCCGGTGCCCTTTTTAGGGCACTGCTTCAGCGAGGCTGGGGAGGGCAACTGATGCCTGGAGGTGCCACATCCAGCCTCCGCCTCTTCCCTGGCGCCCTCCAGAACTTGGCGCCCTGGCGCCTTCGCCCCTTGCCTCTATGGGCAAGATGCCCCTGGTTTTGCTTATTCTTAATTGGGAGAGTTCTTGGTGTTTAGCACAACTGTGGGGCTGTGGAAATTTCACTCTGTGTGTTTCGTTCCCTTTTTGTTAGTTATTCCCCTTCCAGAAGAAGAAGAGGGTGGGACTCATCGTCTCCCTGCCCATCCCTTTCCCCACAGAAGCAGCCTGAAGGTAGCAATTGTGAGTCACGATAATAGGGGAAGGTACAAGCTGGCTTCAGTGGGGCAGAACTAACCACCTAGAATGCATTTGGAAAATATATGTGAAGATGCCCTCCTGTTGCTGATGGCTAGTGCCCTGGTGCCCATGCAGAGCACTAAGAAGGAAACAGATCCTGGGACAGATTTTTCTTTACTCTCTTCCTGCTCCTGGAGGTCCAACTCTTAAATGAGTGATGGGAAGCAGTCTCTCTTCAGGGCGAGGCATTTATCCCTGCAGGATGCAACTTAGTATATTTGTACGAGATTGTGGGGGGGAAATACGGAATAACAGATACAAGTTTGTTTAAAAAGTGATGGAAGTCAATCAATGAAATTTTATTATTGAGATATTTGTAGAATAAATTTGGAAGAAATTCTTCCCATTTTTCTTCTTCTTCCAATTTTTCTTCTTATTTTTTCATTTTCTTTTTTCTTCTCTTCCTTTTCTCTTTTTGTTATTTTTTTTATATATGTGTGCTTATCTGAAAAATATATGTATGTATGTACGTATGTATGTATGTATGTATGTATGTATGCATTTGTATACATTCTGCTTGTATTTTGTAATAATTATGTTAAATAAAATTTAAAAATAAAAATAAAAATAAAAAAGAAGGAAACAGATCCTGGAACGGATTTGTCTTTACTTTCTTCCTGCTCCTGGTGGTCCAACCCTTAAATGAGTGATGGGAAGCAGTCTCTCTTCAGGGCGAGGCATTTATCCCTGCAGGATGCAACTTAGAGCAGTGTTTCCCAACCTTTTTTGGGCAAAGGCACACTTGTTTCATGAAAAAAATCTCGAGGCACACCACCATTACAGCCCCGTGACGTCAGCGCGCAGCGCACGCGGATCCCACTTATTCTGAAGCTCGCACCACTAGCCAGGGCTCTCACACCGTGCCAGGGCGAGGCGGCGCGGCCCACTGACGTCATCGCGGCTCGCCGCCGCCCTCGACTTCCCTGTTCCCTCCCCTCCCTCGGGTCGCCGTGGTTACCAAGGACTGCAAGCTGCTCGGGCGAGCGTGGGGCATTAAGTGGGAGAAGGAAAATTAAAATTAAAACTCGCCTGAAGGCCGCCTCTCCGGATACAGTGGTGCCTCGCAAGACGAAATTAATTCGTTCCAGAAGTCTCTTCGTCTTGCGAGTTTTTCGTCTTGCGATGCACGGTTTCCCATAGGAATGCATTGAAAATCAATTAATGCGTTCCTAGGGAAACCGCCTTCAGACCAGGTCCGGGGACAGTCTGTCCCCCCGACCTCTTCTGAAGGCTGGGGGGGGGACAAGGGCTTTTCTTCCCACCCCCAGCATTTTAAAAAACCCCGGGACAGCGGAGGACTTCTCCGCTGTCCGGGGCGATTTAAAAGCCCCTGGGAAGGCAGGCAGGGGGGACAAAGATTTTCGCCCCCCGCCCGCCTTCAGAAGAGGTCCTGGACCTCTTCTGAAGGTGGGCGGGGGCGAAAGTCTTTGCTCCCCCCTGCCTGCCTTCCCGGGAGAGCGGAGAAAGGCAGCGCGTTTCTCCGCTGTCCCGGACGGCTTTTGAAGGCAGGCTTTTGAAAGCCGTCCGGGACAGCGGAGAAAGGCAGCGCGCCATTCCCGTTGTCCCCCGACTTGGCTGGAAGGCTGGCGGGGGGAGAAGCCTGCTCCTCCCCATCGCCAGCCCTGCAAACTCGGGGGACAGCGGGAGAGGCGCAGCGCGCCATCCCGCTGTCTCCCGACATGGTTTGGAGGCTGGCGGAGGGCTTCCTCCTCCCCCAGCCCCGCAAGCTCCCAGAGCGATGCCAAAGCTGCGCGCAGCTTCGGCATGGCTCTGGGTCCCGTTCTGGGGGAGGGGGAAGCTCGGGCTTCCCCCGCCCCAGCCCCACGCCTGGCGGTGGGGGAATAATTTTTTCCCCCTTTATTCCCCCCCCCCCGCCAATTTTTCCCGCGGCACACCAGGCAACGTCTGGCGGCACACTAGTGTGCCGCGGAACACCGGTTGGGAAACACTGACTTAGAGGGTCACGCAGCCCCTCAGATGCAGGCCATTCACAGCATTTGTATGAGAATCAAAGAACAGTAGAGTTGGAGGGGACACTGGGGGTCATCTAGTCCAGCCCCCTGCATTGCAGGAATCTTTTGGCCAACGTGGGGCTCCTGCATTGAAGGGGGTTGGACTAGATGATCCTTGTGGTCTCTTCCAGCTCTACAATTCTTGGATCCCTTCTATGCCCATATACTCGGAGACTAAAGGTTTAGTTGTACCTGGTTCTTTCCGGTCCGATTTTCCCCACGCGGTTCTGACCAGCGCAAGAGTGGACTCCCTTCTTTCACTCCCAGACACTTTTCAAAAGTTGTTCCACTAATTCTTTGAATTCGCTCTCCTTATTGGGATTAAATTTGGGAAGCTTTCTCACTCTGGGGACAGTCTTAGAGGCTGTGTGCTGATGAGCTGATCTCTCCCCCTGCTGCCACGGCCCCTTTCCCAAATTGAGACAGCCTAAACTCTTCAGAGCTTGGGTTGCCCCAGCGGGGAGCTCGGTTTTTGTTTCGTTTTGTTTGTTGAATTTATAGAAAATTTTACTCATTGTTTTTAAAAGATGGCATGTCATCAAGCACAAGGAAAGAAAGATTAAACAGCAAATACCTGGGTTATAGATGGCAAAGAACAATAACATTCAATCTAAAATTTCCCCTTTTCTATAGACTTTTTAATGTCTACAGTTCCACAGTTGCAGACGTGAAACAGAAATTGCCCTGAATAGAGATATTTCCCGATTGATTTTTTTAAAAAAAAACCCAGTTACAAGATATTTGTACTGACACAGAACAAAAGTAATATATTTAAGCATTTAATGTGCCTTTTTTTCATCAAGGTAGGTGAGACATTGTGTGTATCTAAACAAGTGCTGTACAACTACTGCTTATATGGTTTACTTGAACCCACAGGGACACAGGTAAGAAATATTTTCATGAACAGAAGGATGGAGGATGTGCGCATTATAAGAAACCAAGTTTGTGTTCAACCAAAAGATGAGGATCTCCCATTCCTTCCCTCTGTGCCGGGTCGTTCAGAATATCCTCAAAACCAATGCAGTCACAGTTGCCTTTCCAGATATCCAGGGACCAGTTAGAACTAGGAAGGAAAGGAAGACGCTGGAGCAGCTTCACTGCTTGGAATTCCATCTGCAGCTTCAGCGGTGCATGCAGCCCCGGAATATTTCTCAGAGTAGAAAAATTCATCTTATCTTGATTTAGCAACAACAACAACAACAAAATTATCCGGTGTGTCCAAAGGATGAACAGGGAAAAGTTCGCTCTTCACATTTGTAAAGCCTCTATTTATCACATCACAGCTTTCAAATGCTTCAGCAGCTGAAAAATCAGAAACCGGAATACAGTCCTTCAGCTGAGATCCAAACGCTCTGGAATTCGTCCAGCTGTGGAATCCTCAAGCTGTGGGTTTTTTTATAAAAAAGAAGGGGGGAGGAAAGGACAGTGGTCAAGGACAATGGGAGCTGTAGTGAAGCAACCCCTGTAGGAAGGCCCCCAGCCTTCTCCCCGCCCCATGCAAAGGCTCCCTTCCTCTTACCTGGTCTTTTAGGGGGAGGCTTGGGCAGCAGCCACAGCGGTGCACGATCGAGATCCTGCAAGAAAGAAGGGATCTTTGAAGCAAGCACTGCTTCTTGGGCTCAAATCCTGTTGGCTGCTTTCGCAGTGGCATCTGGGTGGCCCCTTGGAGAAGAGGAGGCTGGACCAGACAGGCCCTTGGCCTGATCCTTTTGTGTTTCCTAAGGCCCCCCTCCTCCCCCCTGTCCCATTACCTCAGGGGCGAGAGGCCGTTGTCTGGGCTCCAGTCCCTCCCGGAGGAATGCGGCGGTTCCACGGCTGAACTTCTCCCTCGCTGCAAAACAAACGGAGACATCAGAAGGCGCCTGTCTCCCAGCCACGCTAGCCCCAGTCTGGGGCAGGAGGGTGGGGGACCTGGGAAGGGGCATTTCCTCCTACCTGATCTTATCAGGGCTCCCCACTTCTCCACCGTACGGGCGTCCGACCGGCCTAGCACAGAAGCAACAGCCAAAGTCTCCTCCCTCACCTGAGAAGCTGTTTTAATGGGAGGAAACTTTGGCTGCTGCTTCTGTGCCAAACCGGGCCGGGATGGAGCCATGCCCGTACGGAGGAGGGGCAGTGGGGACCTGCCGCAGCCGGGAACCGCCGGGATGTTGTTCGGTTCTTCATTCCGGGAGCTGGCACTGGAGCCTCATCCCTGGAGGCGTTGCCCTGTGGAGGAAGAAGGACATCACGTGAGAATGGAAGCCACAGGTGGGAGAGTGTTTCTAGGACTCCCAAAACATGTTCCACAAAGATCCCTTCATTCCCTCTGCCCTCTTACCTGATGTTCGCCACGCCTCTCCAGGGATTTGGCCAGAACAAAATACGCGTTGGGGAAAGGCTCCCACACTGCAAAGAAAAAAGAAACACGAGCAGGCGCCTGGCTCCCTGCCATGCTAGCCCCAGTCTGGGGCATGAGGGTGGGGGACAAGGGAAGGAAGCATTCCTAGAATATGGGGCACTCAGTGGGCATTTCCACTTACCTGAGCTGGGAGCCTTTCCCCCTTTGTTCTGGCCGGCCTCTCGCCTAAGGAAGAAACAAGCTCAGTTAGTCTGATTGTGGGAGAAAGGGAGAAATCTGGGGTTGATCTCCACCAGAGCCAGATTATTCAATGGGCAGAGTAGGCCTATGGGCCAGGCAACAACGGATCAGAATAAGTACTGTTTGTTTTGCCTATTAATTATTGTTGGTTGCTAAAATAAAAAACGTATCAGGATATGATTTGCAAAGAGCCCAGGGATATTTTGACTGCCTAGGGGCCTCCACAGGTTTTAATCTGGAACTGTGCCCAACCAAGGGCCAACTTTGGGCTCTCAAATGTCAAGGGCGCCCTGTAGGCACAGCCGTAGCTGGGTGATCTTGAGCCCCTGGAGAACCGTCCAGATCGCGCCCCCTAGCCACGGACAAATGAGCTCTTCTTTCTGCCTCTCCTCCAACCCTCCACCCTTTCAATTCACCCTCTATCAAAAACCTTTTCTTATGAGGCAATAGCCCAGTGTGAGCACACTGGCCGTGCCATCCTCAGACTGACCCACCCCTGCCACAGAAGGGCACAGCATACCTGCAGATGTTGGTTTTGGACGTGGCACCGCTGGGCTGCTGCTTGGCCGGAGCCCTGACTGGCACTTCCAAACCACGGCCCTGCAAAGGAAGAAGGACATTTTACTCTCCTGCCATAGGCATCCGCTCTAGGGGACAGGGGTCCCGTGGGCCCTCCCCAAAGATTTTCTTCTGGGGCAGATTGCCTTTCAGGTTTTCTCTCCCCCCAGCCACATCAGGGGACGGCCGGCCAGCGGAGGGACATAGGGGGCAGGTGGGAGGGTGAAGGCCGCTCCCTGCAAGGCCCTTTCCACCTGGCCTGGGGGGCGAGGCCCAGACCCACCTGCCAGCCCCACTGAAGAGGCTCCTCCTGAGGCCGGAGGAACATCGCCCAGCTAGTGTTTGGTTGTTTTGTTGTTTTATTATTCTGCAAACCGCTTTGGGATTTTTATTTAAAATATAAAGCAGTATAAAAATTAAAATAAATAAATAAGTGGGAAATGGATTCCCCATGGAATTAACATACCATGATTTCCAGTGATATTTGTTTCTTATGGCACCATGGCAGCTGCTGTGGCCTTCCTTTCTGAGAACCTGTGAGACAGAAAGGAAAATAAAAACAGAGGAAGTTACCAACCAGTAATTCACAACAAAACATATCATCGGGGGACCACAGCTGAGGACCTGCCAAGCTAGCAACATCTGTGGACAAAGCAATCCAGGGAGCCAAGCCACATGCATCAGTGATGGGTGACGCTAATAATAATAATAATAATAATAATAATAATGCCACTCATCTTCTCTGAGCCTCCTACCTTCAGAATCCATTTCTCTCAAGTCTCTCACCGTCATCTGACAGGCATCCATCTTGCAGGGCACTATAAGGCTTGCTTGCAAAGCAGCGCTTTGTGACATCAGCTGGCAAACAGGGGCCAGGTTGTCAGGCAGATGAATTAAGAAAAATAAAATTGGGGGGGGGTCAAAGTGTGCTGGGATGAGGCCACCGTGGGTCAGGCCAGAGGGTGCTGTTGGGGTGTGTGGTTGTGCCTCCCCTGGTTCTGCATCTTGCTCCCCCGACCCTTCCTTTAGCTGCTTGAGTTGGAAGGGATGCCAAGGGTAATCCAGTCCAACCCCAGACAATGCCAGGATCCTGCCCACAGCCAGCCCTGGCTGGGCTCCAAACTCCAACCATCTCCTTACCAGCCAGATGCACAGACCCCTTGCAATTCTGCCTGCACTGGAGGAAGGGGAGAGAGAGAGATGTTTTGCTCTCTGTCCCTGAGGACATGGATATGAGAGCCACGCCATGCAGCCCTCTCAATATCACAAGGGCCATCACAAGGAGGAAGCTTGTTTTCTCCTGCTCCAGAAGCCCTCATGACCTGAAGCCGTGGCTTCAAGCTACGAGAAAGGCGATGCCAACTCAGCTTCAGGAAGAACTTTCTGACAGCAAGAGCTGTTTGACAGTGGGAAGGAAACCCTCAGAGGCAGTAGACTCTCCTTCCTTGAAGGTTTTTCAGCAGAGGTGGGATGGCCATCTGCCATGGATGCTTGAGCTGAGATTCCTGCATTGCAGGGGTTGGTCTAGATGACCCTCGGGGTCCCTTCCAACTCTACAATTCTATGATCCTATGATGTAAAGTGCATCTAATGAGCATTGAAAGCACATGACGTCCCCCAAATGATCCTGGGCATTGCAGCTTTCCTCTCACAGACCTACAATTCCCAGAACCCCTAACACACTACAATTTCCAGAATCATTTAGGGGAAGAGACCTTCCCCCAATTTCCTAGGAACCAGGAATGGGAAGCTCAAGTGCTTCTAACAGGATGACTTGACAAAGCAGGCTTATAAAATTTTGTTCCCAAAGGTGCCTCCCCCCTCTCTACTGAACGATGGCAAGAATCCATGGCTCTCACCTTTGGAGAACTGAGACATGGCAGGGACTGTCTTACCTTTAAGAAATACAGTTTATTCACCTGTTTACACCTTTGCATGGAGGGAGTCCAGATCTTACAGCAAAGTCCTTTCAAGAGGGACTTGTCCCCCACAGCAGGGCAGCCAGCCTTCCCAAGTTGGATTCCGGACTCTCCTCCTCCTCCTTCCCTTGCTCAAAGCCTCAGTTTTCCTCACCACACACCATTATCCTGGATCCCTTTCAAATCCCCCCCTCTCTGTTCACACAGCAGGGCAAGGGAGAAGGAATTATTTTGCATTTCCAGTTAGGCTCTCCTTGTCCTTGAAATGTTTCTTAAAGGCCCTTGCTTGGCCACGTCCTTTTGCACAGGGTAGCCCAGGAATTCCTCTGCAGCTTCTATTTCTCCCTTCACATCCCAAATAATCCCAAACCCCACCATTTATTAATTTCTAGGGTTTAGTGGGATCCCCCCATCAATCTATAACAATATTGTAACTAAGGTAATTCTATTCGGATTCCCAAGGGAATGTCAAGCAGGGAGGGAGGGGGGGAAGAGAGAGTGGAATTCTGGGGGAGAGTGACAATTGGAGGAGGCTTTGAAAGGGAGTTTGAATGTTGGTGGGGAGGCAGTTGGGAGTCGGTTGAGAGCGGTGGGTTCTGGAGGGAGGAGGTCAGCTGGGGTGGGCAGCTCTTCAGCTTAGGATCAGTATGAGAGTCGTTTGACGGTGGCCAAAAAGGAACAGAGACACAGAGAGGGACTGTGAGTCTCCTGTGGAGGCCGGGGAATGTGACAGTCCCATGCCCAGCAAGGAGGGGCTCTGCCAGCTGCCCAGGAACAGAATAACCTCCATTTTGGATGGCCACAGAGCCAGGCTTGGCTTGTATTCCTAATACCCAGATGCCTCACACCACCCTCTCCAATTACCTAGAAAGTAGCCTTATAGACCAGATTATTGTCTTCCCAAGCAACTTAAAAATGTAATGTGGTGGTCAACGAAAGAAGTTTAAAGACTCTCTCAAGGCAAATCTAAAAGAAATGTGGTATAAACAATTGGGAAACACTGGCGTGCGAGTGCTCCAATTTGAGAACAGCCTTTACCAACGGTGTCATGGACTTTGAAGACACGCGAACTCAGGACAAAAGGGAGAAATAAACTAGGAGGAAGAATGTTTGGCAAACCCTCACCATGATCAACTCCCACCTGGACATCTATGTCCCCACTGTGGAAGGACGTGTGGATCGAGAAGAAGATAGAAATTGAGGGGCTACGGCCTTTTTTATGGACATGGACATAATGGAGAATGCTCACAGGAAGATGCCTTGCCTGTCCATGCTCCCCCAACATCTGGTTGGTCCAACACTTCCACCATTGTGTTCCCCGAAAGGCGGCACCCACCCAGCAGGTGGAGGCTCACCTTGGGGAGGGGGATATTGTCATGGGGCAGGAATCAGCTTCACCTGCTGAACAGCAGCCTGAAGGGGAAGAAGGGGGAGTGACATCACCTGCAGCTTCAAAGACTCCAAGGAGAAAGCGCTGATGAGAACCAGTTGGCTCCAGCCTTCTTAAGTAGAGCTCCCAGTAGTAGCCAGAGAAGGCAGAGAAGGAAAGAAAACAGCTCCTCCCCTCCCCTTTTTTGATACTGTTTGTTACGGAATATTATTTGATCATTGGCATATTGAAAGCAACCAGTTGCTCTGACTTCTTTATTTAATTTTAACATGTGCCAGTCATGCCGTTCTCTTTCAGTGAAGGGCACATTCAGACAGCAACCGGAACATCCCAGAAAACTTGCAAGGCACCAAGCAGCATGGATTCCTCCAGCGATTTGGAAGGACTTTGCAATCCAGAAAAGCAAGACTGGAACGCCACAGAAGACAGAGTTACACTCTGTCCATCACCTTGTGTGCTGGCAACTGAGACCATTCTCGGGAAGTGTGGCCCTGTGGGGGGAAAATCCTGAATTTTCAGCGTTAAGCCTTGATCCAGAAGTCACCTTGAGACCTGCTTACTCATATCAAAGTTCAAATGTTCAGAGAAGTGCTTCAGCAGGATTCCTCAAGCAATTGGAAGGACTTTGCAATCCAGAAAAACAAGACTGGAACGCCACGGAAGACGGAGTCTCGCTCTGTGTCCATCACCTTGTGTGCTGGCGACGGAGACCATTCTCTGGAAGTGTGGCCCTGTGGAGGAAGAAGGACTTGGTATCCACCTGGCAGATGCGGGGAATGCCCAATGCCCCTGCCCTGACATTATTCCCAAAGAAAGCTTGGCCAACCCACTTCTGGACGAGAGCATGAGAGCAGAAAGGTTCTTCTCCTATTCTCTGTTGACACTCAACTTGTAGGGTGTTCTCCCAGCCCCATGGAAATCTTTCCTTCCTCTTACCTGTTCTTTTTATAAGGGTGGCTTTGGCAACAGCCACAGGGGACAATGTTCCTACAATTCCCCAAACATATTTCAGAAGGACCCCTTCCTTCCTTCTGCCCTAGTACCTGAGGGTCGTCACGTCTCTCCAGGGATTTGGCCAGAACAAAGTACACATTGGGGAAAGGTTCCCTTCCTGCAAAGAAAATGGAGCAATCAGCAAGTGCCTGGCTCCCAGCCACATTAGCCCCAGCCTGGGGCAGGAGGGTGGGAGACATGGGAAAGGGGCATTTCCACTTACCTGATCTTTGCAGCTCTCCCCACTTGGCCTCCCTGCGGGGGTCTTTGTCCTTCCCCCTGTCCCAGTACCTCTGGGGTGAGAGGCCTTTGTCTGGGCTCCAGTCCCTCCCGTGATGCAGTGGCTCCCAGGCTGAACCTTCTCCTCGCTGCAAAACAAACGGAGACATCAGCAGGCGCCTGGCTCCCAGCCACGCTAGCCCCAGTCTGGGGCAGGAGGGGGGGACCTGGGAAGGGGGCATTTCCTCCTACCTGATCTTATTAGCTGCCCCACCCTGAACTCCTCCGTACGGGGTCTGGGCTCTGTCCCGGCCGGCTTGGCACAGAGGCAGCAACCCAAGTCTCACCCGGCTCTGGAATAACTCGGGAGGTGCTTTTGATGGGAGGAAACCTTGGCTGCTGCTTCTGCGCCAAGTAGTGCTGGGAAGGAGCCATGCCCACATGGAGAACGGACGGAGGGGGAGGCAGGCGAGGGTCAGGGGCCAGGAACCACCATGATGGTCTGTCGTTCTTCATCCTGGGAGCAGGCGCTGGAGCCTCATCCCTGGAGGTGTGGCCCTGTGGAGGAAGCAGGACATCATATGAGAATGGGCCTCTGATGGGCCAAAAACTATGGAAGGACCCCTTTGTTCCCTCTGCCCCAGAACCTGAGGGTCGTCACATCTCTCCAGGGATTTGACCAGAACAAAGTATATGTTGGGGAAAGGCTCCCTCCCTGCAAAGAAAATGGAGACATCAGCAGGCTCCTGGCTCCCAGCCACGCTAGCCCAGTCTGGGGCAGAAGGGGGGGGGGACCTGGGAAGGGGCATTTCCACTTACCTGATCTTATTAGCTGCCCCAACCTGTCCTCCTCCCTATGGGCGTCTGGGCTCCAGCCTGGCCGGCCTGGCACAGAAGCAGCAGCCAAAGTCTTCTCCCTCTCTGAAATAAATTGAGATGCTGTTTTAATGGGAGGAAACTTTGGCTGCTGCTTCTGCTTCAAACAGGGCCGGGAAGGAGCCATGCCCGTACGGAGGAGGGGCAGTGGGGAAGAGATGTGAGGGTTGCCAGCCAGGAACCGCCGGGATGTTCTCTCTCCCATCATGAGCTGGAGCCTCATCCCTGGAAGCGTGGCCCTTTGGAGTAAGCAGGACATCATATGAGAATGGGCCTCTGATGGGCCAAAAACTATG